CAAACCAGCCAATCAGACAGCTACAGCACTGTGGAAATTGCACCACCAGCAGCCCCACTGGACCACCTACTCCAGACTATGTGTTTACACTGCTCACATGTCATAGTCATTTATCATGAGTGGAATCAGCCATTGAATAGTTCTTTTGAAGCACAAATTGTAGTCATGCGGTGTCATCCTTTTCAATCAGCAGTTATATAAATTCAGTGAATTATTAATGGTTTTTTAGGTTTAAAGCTTTTAAATATTTATGGTTTTGAATAGCGAAATGCACATGAATTATGAATGAATAAAAGGAGTCAACAAGCACATCTGTCTCTACTATGAAATGATGCATCCATGACCCCCCCCCCTCTCCCCCGCCCTCGAACCGACCTTGTGTAAATCTTAAAATGAAATTAAAAATGTAACGCCCAATGTCTTTATGTAATCACTTCATTGTTTAAGGACAAAAAAAAAACAGCCAAAATGGATTGTGTTAATACATCTTTGGAGAGTTTCATAGTTGCTTAGGAAGAGGAGAAACACCTGCTTGCAGCAGTTGTTCAGGCCGTCCGGGTCCTCCAGAGTCACCGCTGCATCTTCCATCCTGCTATCTTCCTCTAAAGATGTCTGAACTCACCAACACGCTGCAGCTGGAGATGGGAGGGGGTTGTAAAACTTTGGCATGTTTATTGTAGATCTTGTCAGCGCTGTTACCAACAACAGATGTCTTGTATACACCAATACTATTATCCTGCAACACACTCCAATGTTGACACGAATATTGAAGGGCTTTTCCTTTAAATCTGCAAACATAACTGTTAATTTGAGCTTTTCACCAACACCCATATGAAGACAGCGTGGTGGCAGATTATACAAGAAATCTTCAGAAAAAACACATAAAGGAGAGTTTAACAGGGGAAGTGAGTTCCTTTAGTCCTGCTAAGTACCTCCTCTGTTCAGTATAAATCCCTGTTGGCAAAGAGTTTCACTTCTTTCAATTTGGAGTTCATTAACTCCACTGGCCCAAGGTCTAACCCGCCATTATCACCCCATGAAAAATATGTCAGGAAAAACAAATAGCTGTAACGATTAAGTCTTTGAAAATGTCAAACCACAGTCCAAGTGTGGTATGAATTCCTCTCGATTAATCATACTTTGTGATCAAAATGGATGCCATGTGTTATTATGCAGTTTGATTTTCTCTGAGTGTTGCTTTCATTAACTGTCTTTTCTTTGCTTCAGGTCTTGCAGTTCTTTAACGTGGGTGTGCAGACGTTTTGGTTGAAGGCCATTTATTGCAGTGGCAAGTAGCGGAAATATGTGTTTATAAAGGAGGTAAAGTGGTTCCACTTTTATTGCTGCTGTAAACATTTTAAGCATATTTTGGGTAAAAAAAATACCAAGAAATGACGTTAATAAACTAAACAACATGCTTTCCGAATCTTCTTCTTTGCTCCTGTAACTTGAGCCAAAGTTGACACTATTTGGGGAAATTCTTCTCTATATTGGATTTCAGTGTTTGAGGGCTGAACCGTTTGATGTTCAAGTCACGTACATCTCTGCTATTCCCGTAGTTGGCTTTAAAATATGAAATTGCTCAAAATACAAACTGTTGAAGTCATTTCTCCCCCACAGCTGTAGTAAATACAGTAAGTCACAGTCAAACTGAAACATGTGGTCCGCTTGGCCAAATAAAACCCAAGGGGGAAAGATTATTTTTTCACTCACAAAAATACAACAGCCACCCCAGATCATCCGTCAGCCCCATAACTCCGTGTGACCTGCCTCTGATCGACTATAAACTCTGATAACTCAAGTTGACTTCTGTTACCTCTCAGTGCCTGCAGACACGGTATAAACTCCAAGAGGTGGTGTTGCATCACTGAAACTGTGCAGGAAGTTGTGTAAGTTTTGGAGTTTTCTGGGATTTTTTCTTCTGGGGAAAACAAGTCTTCATGCAAACATAACTCAGGAGGACCTTCTCTTGCTGAGTATGACCAACACTCAGGAGGCCAAATATGGTGATAACATAATTTAAGTTGGGATGACTTATATCCAGTGTCCAGGTTTGTAGCACGGGTGAGCTTGGAAAACAGACCCTGCCTCCAACAAACAGCACTGTATCATTATTACTGTTCACTGGACCTGCTGTATATACTCTACTTCATAAAGTCAGAGCTGGCATCTGCAGGACCGGCATCTACTTCAAACAAATATTGTTCTTGAATTACCTCCACATGAAAAGGTTATTTCCAAAACAACACAGTATGTACTGTATATATCGCTGCCGTCACCTGAGAACCCTCTGGCCCCACTTTGTTGTGCTGACTTGGATTTGAAGCAAAGCTCCTGCTCAGATACTTAAACACTGTTGTATATTATCAAATGTGATTTTCAATCTACTAAAACGGTTGTCATGAGTTGCTGTTTTTAGCTTTTCTGGTTAAACCACATCCGCTAAACCCGCTTCCTCCCAGTTAGTGAAATCCGAGAGTGCATTTTAACCGTAACCGTAACAGTAACAGCAAAGACATTTGGACTTTTCCCAGCAGGAAAATCGAAGGAATGCTTCTCCCACAAAATTAGCATTTGTATGTCAATTCCTCACCCTGTGTTGCGTTGAATTTGTGACGAAACCTTTTTCTCACATGCCTCCATGGTGAACAAAGAAGCCAAAATAGAGGAAATTCTTGATGAACTGAAGTCATAGGGGCCTACATTTAACAACAGAAAGACTATATCAAAACATCCACTTACAAACTCACACAACTTGTGCAGCGTAAGTCTCATTATCCAGTCGTATGCTCGGCACTTTCCAAACACATGCATGTTCACTAAGACTGTAATATTTAAAACACTACAGCGTAAGAGTACCGCACATGGGAGAGTACATGTGTTTGAACTGCGCTCCTGCTTTCCAGCGAGCAGGGTACAAACACACTTGCAAAGACACTCTACTCCGTGTGTGAGACTTGTTTATGTGTAAGTGTTTCAAATAGTCAGGTTTTAGTGAAGATGGCATGTGTTTTGGGAAGCACCACTAAATGAGGCTTTGATTATACTGCACATGTTGTGTGTAAACAGATGTTTTGATATAGTTTTGCTGTTGTTAAACACAGCCCCCCCTTCTTAAATTCTTTAAGAATGGTCTCTGTGTTCTGATTCTTCATTGATGGATGCAGGAAAAACATTTCCCCAGAAATTCAAGGTGACACAGGGTGAGTAACTGATAAACAAACGCTCATCCTGCAGGTGAAGGGTTCCTTTAACTACTTAAATCATTATGGCTGTGCTCAACGTCGGTATCCCACTAAGTCATGTCAGTGAGTCAGCATGAACAATACCATGGCCCTGGATCAGACACATGTGAGAGGAATGCAGCTACGATTAATGATATCAATTACACCTGTGCTTTACCTGCAATGACATGTCAGGAGTTTTTCCTTGAGTTGCAAACAAGCTCCCGCACACAGTCTGACTCAACTTAATTCATCTGTCATCTGTATGATGTTTGAACGTCAACACTAAACTATGCATCCTGACAGAACTTTCTTTCTCGGGGTTTATCCATAATTTTTACCTCTAATCCGAGTGAGGTCCTGGAGTTTTTTCAGTGATTCACATCACTGTGTTGTTGTGCTCACTGCCGACAGTTTCCTAGGTTTGAAAATGCACCGAGCCAATCACGGCTTTTTAGGACTTAGAATGAAGACGTCCCCTTCTTGTACCGCAGCCCTGAAAATGGTGACAAAAATTGATGCAAAAATTGAGACACATGTGGATGAGATCAACACAGCTGTATGTAGTTTAAGTACATTTAGAAAAAAACAACTATTAAATCTGCATATTTCTGTCATGGTCATGAAAATATCAACCGCAGCACAGCTTCTGTGTGGAGTGAAAATTACTTTGGCAGGACAAATAAGTAAATTGTCACTGAATTGTTATGACAAAACAAACCGAAAACAGCTAACATGGACAGATATCAGACTGAATAATAAAGTGAGAATGAAACAGCTGCTCAGTCTGACATTGTTAACAGACCTCACCATGAACAGTTTTCATCAGAACCTCTTTCTACCAAGGTCTTTATGAAAACAGTTCACAGCTGAAAGCTGAATCTAAAAACCTGTGCAAATCTAACCCAAAACCTTCTGCATAGCTCGATACACTGAGGTTATTATTGTCATCAGTCTGAATATAGATGAAACTACCCCTTAAGATGGAGATTATTTATTTGAGACACAACGTTCTGCTCCAAAAGGGGATTCATTGTACAAAACACATTCCCTGAAGGTCATCTTCTTAATATCTACAAACCACACAATGTGCACACTGCTGAATTATGTAATTTCACTGAAAGGATAAGGTTGGTGTTATTTAATTCTTTTCTTATTCTCAGCAAATCCCAAACCAAATTACTCTCCCTCATTTACCTCCTGACTACCCTGTCTGTGCTACTCACCCCAAGCCCGGCTTCAGTAATTTCCCAAAACAGCTGGGCACTCTTGTTTTCAGTGAAAGTTTCTCAAATAAGAATAAATAGCGTATCTGTTGGGGACTATTTTCAGCTGAGGATTAATACATATTTGAAATAAGTAGGTGTCACAGTTACATCCCTGCTGATTTTTCCTGACTGCTGGAGGGATCAAACTGTCTGGTCACAAGCCCTGTTGTATAAGCTTATGTCATCACTGCTGCTCAGCACATGGGCTGCGGAGCTGCTGTATAATAGATGGGAACCTCGCTGAGTGAACCAGCGTTATCGAGAAACGTTTAGATATTAGCATGACAAAGGTGTTGTGTTTTTATCTGCCATATGGTTTATTCAGTGTCATCTGATCGTTAACTTTCCCCACAGGGATCCCCTTCCTACTGTATTTCATTATCAACAGCATCTCCACTGATAAGAGTTTTATTATTTTATTTATTTATGTATTTATTTTAAATACAATCTGAGTACAGAATATTTGACACCCACAGAGTGACAGTTTGGGCAAAATAATGAACATCCATACCACTGAAATTATGTTTATTCAGCAGTCAATATAGAATGTTAGATAAAACATTTTTTGGCACAGTTGCTTAATGATAAGCTGTCCCGTTTCTGTGTGATAATCTAAATAAATATGCAAAACCATAATTTACTTCCCAAATAAATACAATATAAACTACAATAAAGATGCACCGCATCCGCACCCCACAACTGCACCTCCTCAGGAAAAAAAACAAAACAAAAACATAATTTACTGTACTTCAGGCAAACACTTGCAATGGGTTCAAACCAAATAAAGTTTTTAAAAGGTGAAAAAAGATGCTTCATAATTCATTTCAATAGCTTATTTTTCCTCTAAGAGTCTAACAGGCAATACAACAAGGAGGCATTCGACGGGCCAATAGAAGGCTGCACTGTGGGCTTTGGATCATAGCAAGTTACAGGGTCTTATGGATGGGTGCAAACACATTTCCAGATCCTCACTCTACGTCATAGTTTTCCGTCAGCAAGGAAAAAAAAAGTCATGCCACTACTGATCACTAAAACCATTCTTCTTCTCTTTCACACCTGAGCCTCAGATTAGCTAAGAGTGTAAACATTCACAAATTACATCCAGAGACGATATTAAAGAGGTTATATCACCTGGAACTTGAGACGTGAGATATTTGCGAATCTACGTTTGTGAATTCGTCACGCGTGTTGAATTGACTTGGTGTGTTTTGGCAATTCTTTGTGGAACATAATTCCAGAGGATCATGGGTAATTACAATAATGGGTTATTTGGGGAAAGTATAAAAAGACAGACCCGAAATGACAATTTCTTGTGATGAGTGTGTGTGATGAGTTATTCTACGGAGAGCAGATGGGATCAATTTTCACGTTGTTCCAGTGAGAGAGTATTTATGTGTTTTGAAACCAGTCCTCGTTGTTAATCTACACATCAATATACACAATAATTAAAGGTGGGTTTCAAACCTGGAGCTATAGGAAAGGAATTTTCTTTCATCGTCAAATTTGTATCAACAAAACTTGTTTCTTTCACCTGTGTAATAACACTGCGATGAATAACAGCAATGCATACATGCAGGGAAATAGGTCGCAGTCATGATCCCTGATAACAATAACTCAACACACCTTTAGGTCAATACACTTCCTGGAAACAGCTGATCACTAGATTACATTTTAGGTCAGTTGTCCAATTGTCTGTGCAGAGTTTAAAGTAAACATTGGTGTATTATATATTATTTTATTTTATATATGGCTTTGGAATTGATTTTTGAGCACTTTCCTGTCTGAAGGTGATTTTCTGTCACCATTTATCATGTAAACTACAAGATGTGGATTTACTGAAGGGAGTGCCCATGGATATGAAGTGTAGTGACAGCAATAATATAGTCCCTTGTGACTCATAGCTCATCTATCGCATGTACTACGACTCAAATGTAATATCACAGACATAACGTTGCTACATTGTTGTTACACCACAGTTTACAGTGTTACTACACAGATAGAAAAGATATTAAAAACATATTTGGTGTGAGCAGTCATTTTCTGTCTCTTTACATGGAATCCACACAAACACAGCACTTGCTGTAAATGTGACTCGGTTCCAATTTGTGTTGACAGACGCCCAAAAAAGAGTCAAGCCTGCCTGTCATAAAAAGGCTGCCCTCGAGCAGCCATAAACACATTCCCGCCCTTTTGTCTTTTGCTTGAGATTATATTCCATGTTTTGTCTTTTAACAGCATTCACGTGCAACTCTTCCACTGGAGGACGAGAGCAGCATGAAGAGGTCCATGTCTCTGGGTCATACACACCCACAGTTCTTCGCTGACACGTTCTGTATTGTGTGATAGCGGCTCTTGTTGTCCAGAAAGGAAAAGTCCTTCTCAAAAGCAATGGGCCGGCAGCAGGGCCCATTGCTGACCTTGTCCTTGCGGCCCTTCTTCCTGAAGCCCGTCCGCATCATGTGCTCCATAGTGATGTCATAGTTGTGCCGGTGGGTCGTGCATTTGCCACTGCAGTAGCGCAGCAGCACCGTCTCGTCGCTCTCATAGCCGAGACCCAGTTCACTCACGGTGAGCTCCAGCTCCCTCACAGAGCAAGGTTTAGGCCTCCGGGCTCTTTTAGTCCTTCGGGCCTGGTTCTCACCCAGGCGTCTGCTCTTCCTTCGTTTCCTGTCGAGCAAGGTCCCAACCACATGCTGAAGCTCGCCCTCTGTGAAGCTCTGGAACATCATGGAAACTGGCAGAGAGGAGATAAATCACACGTCTGTAAACAGGTTGTAGAGGGATTATCTGATTTCTGTGTACTTTAGTCAAAAGATCTGATTCGCAGAGATAGCATACTGTACTTGAAAGGATCATGAAAAGTTGTGTGGAAAAAGAAGAACAGAAGTTTGTTTTAAGTGACAGGATGACAGCTACAAATAAGTCTTATCATTATCAGCATCACAGAAAGAGTCAGACATCCCTTAGATCTATTTAAAGGAATACTTCACCCACAAAATTACCTTTGGTATGTTAGTGATACCATGTTACCTGAGATTGTGAAGAATACTTTGTTTTTCTTGCAGTCCTCCCATAGACTGTAAAAATAATGAAGGTAGCTACCGTGACATCAGCCATTGGTTTGTGGACTCCCATTCTGAAGCCTCAAGTTTGGCATTTTAGCTGCCGCCGTCTCGTTTTTTTGGAGCCATATTTGTACAAGAGGCTGGAGATGTGGAGGAGTGATGCGTGGATCCATGAATGTATAAAGAGACCTGGATTTAGCATTGCAGACAAGGCCCCGTTCATTCCTTTGAGAGTTGCTCAGTCGCGCACGAAGCCAAAATGGTTCAGCTGCCACGTATAAAATTACCCAGATGATCGGCACTGCTTCTGCTATTGCTTCTGCACTGTGCGGCCCATCGAGCCGTCACACAAGAGATCAGCTCAGCTGGCTACTTTTGGTTTGGCGCTTCGTTAACTTGAATGGAGATAAAATGCGGCTCTTCTGGACTCTCCAAATGTTATCGGACTGAAAGGATTGAATCCCGACAGTGTAGCAAGTCATTTCACTGGGGTTGTGATGCTCAAAAGACTTTATCCACTGATTTACAGGTGTCTCTTTTATAATGTAAATCTATGGAATCTATGAAAAAGTCTTATTGGGCTGCAGGGCATCATGTGACGAGCTCAGAAGTTGTAATTCCACGAAAATTGGATTCAAGCCCGGAGCACTGGGGGCTATGATGGATCTGTCTCACAGACTGTAGCAATGTGTCACAGACTTGTCATTTAAGCAGCCCTGTCTTTGAATATGTGTAATTTTAAGCTGAAATAAAATAGAAATAGGTGAGTTATAAAAAAACAGCCTGTGTACAGTTGTTATGAATGTTGAAATTAGCTATAGAGACCAAAACGTTTCTTTGTACCAGGCTGTAAACATGTTTATTTCTACTGTAAAGTTGGACATTCTGACATGGTGGTCTTTGGGAATTTGCCCCGTTTTGAAGCCAGCCTCAAATGGCTATATGATGATCTGCAGTTTTTGGCACTTCAGCGTTGGCTTCGTTTGTCACACTTGGAGGTTGCTGCTAGATTCCTCCATTTCTAATGACAGCAAAACTATATCAAAACATCCTCACACAACTCGTGCAAGGTAATCCAAGTCTCATTTATCCAGTTGTATGCTCAGTGCCTCCAACTCACATGCATTTTCTCTAAAATACCTTTTGGATTGGAGTCTGGCTAACTTAGCATGACTGATATACAAATGGTCATTTTGCGGGTGAAGAATTCCTTTAAGTTGACGAATGGCATTCAGTGAGGCTGTGTGAAACCAAAGGAAAGTGTCGTCCTCTCCTGAAGGTTAGAATAGTTCTATGGAAAGCCAGTGAACTATGAGGTGCTAATTGACTGCAGCTTATTAAAACCTGCTCCATAAACAACAGAGCCAGGTACTAAAGTGTCTTGTCTGAACTACAGCCGCCCTTTCACACGACACCTCATCCCAGACCAGACAAGGAGGGAAGACAATAACAGTTTATCTTACACTCTGAGAGGAGAGAGTTCATGTCGTCTGTTGAGCGAGGTCTCCGATGAGGACCACCCGTCTGCCGGGACAACACTGCTGATTCTGCTGCTGCTGCTGCTGCTGCTGCTGATGATGATGAGGGTGATGGCGGTGAGGTCTTGGTTGTTGATTCTGATGATGAAGACTGTCTTGATGAGGATGAATATTTGTACAGGTATTTTGTCTTAGGTTTGAACTGTCCGATAGTGGCCATGTTTCTAACGAGGAGGATGGACAGGGCTGCACCACAGAGCATGAAGGCAAAAGTAGCACCTTTCCATAACTTCATCTTAGAACGTGGAGGAGCATTGAAACTCTGTTGAGAGAAGCGAAAAGGACAAACGTCAGACATGTTCAAGCAGTTACACCTTCAGTGGTGTAAACAGTCTCCTCAACTTGTCACATTAAAGCACAGAGAACAATGCAAAAATTGTTATCTCCTGCGCCATCACATTTAGTTGACCTTGCCATAAATCCACTTCTCTCACCGGAGCTTTTATTTTACCGTCAGTTTACTTTTTCTGATTCGGCTGTCAGCTCATTTTCACTCTAAGTGGGTTCATGATCTGCGAGCTTGACATCTCTTGCTGACACATGAGAATGCAGTGTGTGTTTAATCGCGGCTGCCTGAAAAAAAAAAACATAACTGCAATTTCTTATTTGAACTGATACAGGCGGGATTAGTTTTGCAACCCCTTGCCCCTTGAAACCTCTTAAAAGTTTGTGTATCATATCAAAAATACCTGATGTGAATGATAATGTGAGCGCTTCATTTCTGGAGAAAAAACACCTTTCTTTGCAGAAGTAAATGTTCCCGAACCATCCTTTTAGAGGGGGGGAAATCCATTCCTTCCTTCCAGGAACCACACCTATTTACAATGCTATGTATGATGAAGCCACAGTGAACATGTGTGTTTGTACATCCCTTTATCTTATACCGCCCCTCCCTTTCAGTAGACACTGCACTACAGCAGCCACAAAAACTCCATTTGCAGGAGTTATATGTTGTGTTTTCTCCCTCCTTATTGTCATGGCTCAGGTATTTGAGAAGTTTTATAACCTTACTTCTTTGTATTTTTCATATCATGTCACCAGTGAGCAAAACATTTCCCCAGAGCCGGAAATGGTATACTAGCAGTGACTAACAGCAAATCCAGACCGGCCTCACAAAGTGTTTTGCCAGACTGGATTCTGTAGTGTACATATACAGCCTGCTGGAGTGTTTACAATGGGACAAAATGACACATATCTTTGTCTAGCTTGGTATTGAAACAAAAATCCAAAGTGAATAACTACTGGGAGTTTGAATTTTTCAGCATGTGTCCTGCAGATCACATTAGCAACAAAAAGTTTACATTTTCTTGTGGAATTAACTTTTTGCAGGGAACTAAAACAAAAGAAAAGTACTATATGCAAATTGAAGTTAGCACTCAGTGTGTCTGACTGTTTTGGGACACCGCAGTGGGGAAAATACAAAGAAGCTGTGCACATGAGCTGCAGTGGTATAAACAGCGTATAAACAGGTATAACAAGTCCTATCAGTCAAAGCTTGACTCATCACTCATAATTCCATATGGGTTTGACGTGGTAAGCAGCCTTTGCACAATGGAGGGGTAGAATGGTATTCATTTGAAAGTCAAACATTTCAGCTAACAGTCTCATTTGACACAGTCTATGTAAATCAAATGTGGAGCTGCGGCTGCTGCAAAATGCTACTCGGTGCCCGGCTATATGTCTGATGTTCGTCTCTCACTGTTGTATTTAATTAGCAGACATGATAAATAGAAGCCTCTGTGGAAAGTCTCATTTTGTTTCTGTTGGTTCAACACCAACTCCCAACACCAGAAATCTTCCTGCCCCTGCTCTAAATATGATAAATCTCTAATTTAAAATGAGCAGGTTTGTTATGATATACGGCAAAGGATGAGATCATTGTTTTGTTATGCTTTTAATAGATCAGTTCAGGAGAATTATTCAGTCTCAGAGTTGGCTGTTTCACAAGGCCCATGATACATCAGAGTCTGTGGCCTGTTGGCTCCGTGGCTCATCTTGATAAAACAATTAGCTCGTAAAGAACAGATGAGCCCTCCAATGCCTCAGTCGCTGACACTGGACGAAGCCTGGTCATCAAACACCGATCTCATGTCCCTGAAGACACTTTGATTGTCATAATTACTCCACTCAGAAAGACATTAGTCCCATCTGCAGTCGATTGGCGCCAATAAAAGTGCCAAGGAGCATTGTGTAGCTTGTTCAGGTGGTCGTGGATGATTAATCCACGCAGACATTTAATATGTACCACTAGCCTCCCGCTGTCATGGACATAAATATACAGATACTGATAGGAGGAAGGGGCACCGGTGTTTTCTTAGGAGAGCAATGGAAAGCTATGAATGAGCAGTCCACTTCCTGAAAGGACAAATGCTGCTGTTTTCCAGCAAACAGAGAGGAGCAACAACACAGAGGATATAGTGGAACCCCTGAGGACTCTCCAGCAGAAGGAAAAGCCATCCTCAAACTGAGACATAAAAGTGCAGATGAGTTGCAAAGACAACTAAAACAGCTCCCACACGTTTGGCCCTCACAATGCATCAGTGACACACCGATGTGCCCATGCACGCTCCTGTTTGTGCAGATAAGGCCGGTCCAACGTGTGAGGCCCAAAACAAACGCTGGAAAATCATCCATTCACAAGGAGACAAGACAAAGTTTACACGCATGAAAGTTCTCATTAGGGTTTTGTGTTGTTAGTGAGAGTGGGAGTGAGTATGAAGTATGTAAGAGGAGCACACCTGATGTTTGCTGCCAGCCATATGTCACCTGAAGAGCTACCAGCTGAGTGAAAACAGTCCTACAGGATCATTAAGATGTTTGAGGCAAACCATGAAAGTGAACTGCTTGGCTGCGAATTCCTCCATCTGTCAAAGCCATTCCTGAGACATTATGTATCCTCCAACGCATGCATCGCGCAGTTGGAGCCCCATCCTCAACCCTCAACCGAGCTCTTGTTGTGCCTCAAAGATCGCCATTATTTCAAATGACACAATAAAAGTGATGTTTTCAAGGAATAATTGGGTCAGTGGCGATGGCGCTGCTAAGCCGGTGGTAATGTAATTACAGCAGCATGGCACTCGGGTCCTCCCCTCCCTCCCGTGCCAGAAGGAGACACTCAACAGAATGCCACAGCCTATGGAAGATGAACTAGAGATCTGTCAAAATGGGGATAAGGGGCGTCTGTGGTTAACACTTCTGAATGAAGCTGTCAGACAGGGGGTGCCTTCTTGTCAGCTTGCTTGGATCTTGACCAGTGTGACATGATTACAGCGGGAGAAGATCACAGAGAAAGGAAATGAATGAAGAGCGTCTTTGTGCTGGAAAAAAAGCAGATACCAACTTTTATGCCTCACCACTGTGTAGAATCCGCTCCTATATATTCCCTAAATACAGCCTGTTCTGTCTCACTCACCCTCCCTCTGACTCACACATACCATAAACACACACACACACACACACACACACAAGCAGCACTTGCGTGGTTTCACTTTTCCCAAATCATATGGCATGGGCTTGTGTAGAAATCAAGACAAAGTCTAACCTTCCATTGTTGTCCAGACACCTACTTCACCTCCTGGGCGCACACACACTCCTAGCAGCACCATCACACAACACTAGATAATCCATCTTACATAACACTGCTGCTTCTTGATATCTAGAAATGTCCACAGGTCTAAGGATTGTGTATTTGCCACTCCACAACCCGAGGCCTCTACATACAGAACATTATTACCACGCTGTGTTCCTGCTCAGCTCCACCCATGTGACCGCCTGTCTCTGCGCTACTGTGAACACACCCCATAAATACCTGCACTGAAAAGATAACAGAGGAGCATAACAAACAGCGGGAAAGGCACCTACTGTGTTGTTCCAAGGAAACAACGTGCTTTAGTGAGTCCTAGAGAGGCCTTGTCTTGTCTTTTCCCTCTTAAGTGAGCATCAGGAGGCCTGGGGACAGCTAGAGAGTGCTTGGAGAGGTAATAGGGACATATTCCAAAGATCAGGGCGGGATTAGCACTAATGCCTGCCGGCTTTATCTGCAGTCACGTGGGTTAACACCTGGCTGCAGTACTGGTGGCGGAGCTCGAGCCTTACTGTATGTGTGTGTGCGTCTGTGTTAATCCATCAGACACCTCTAACTCGAGTTAGACCAGCATGCAGGGCCTAACGAGAGAGAGCACCAGCAGACGCTTCTTCTTCTCCTTCCAAAACCTGTCCTGCTTTCAGTCAGAATAATAGAGAGGAAAAGTGACGAGTTCAGTTAGTTAGATCTGTTGTGTTGGCACCAGGGTGGGCGAAAAGGCTGTAAAATAAAGTGGATGTTCTAACTGAGGATTGGCTGTTCTAAATCCAGCCTTGGTTCTAATGCAACTGAAAAAGGCTTAGGTTAGACTGCGCTGTAATTTTGCTGGGCAACTGCTTCGGTTGGCTCGCGTTCTGTCACTCAGTAACCAAAGCATAATTAAAACAAGCCTGTTCCTTGTTAAAAAGGAAAGCTGCCGTTCATTATTGAGACCGGAGAAAAGGTTGAAAACATCTGTGGGTGATGCCAAAATACAGTGATCATTTTTACACACATTCTGTAAATACTAAACAAGATTCTTGCATTCTTTGTGACGTACTAGATGGAGATGAGTGGTTAAAAAGATCTGATTTTACTGTGGAAGCTTCACTATCACATCTCACGGATTTATACAGATTAATCCAGTGACCCAACAGCCTAGCACGAAGTCTCACAACTCAAACCTGTTGCTGTTAAGAGTGGCGTTAATGAGGTGTGAGGGGGAAGATACACTTATAGATGCACATTTGACACCTGTCCCAATATGCCTGCCCTTTGCTATTCTGGGAAGCGTTGAGTCAAGATGTAGCTCTGACATGCATTTAAATAGCCTTTCTAACAGACAAAGAGCTTACATGAGGCTTTGCAGGAAAACGTCGTCTTGCCTCATCATTTCTGTGCGAGCTGGCTATAAGATTGATGATTGTTGTCTTGGCTACTTTCTAAAGAAGAGTCCATAAGCTGCTATTCTGGCTGCTAATCTGTCTATGCCAGATCCTCTATTAACACAACAGCATCACCTCTAAACCCATGTTAAACACGTTGATGTTGCTGTTACAAAAGGTTGACTGCCATCTGGCACACGCTGAATACCACTTTCAAATATGACCCAATGCGAGCATGCACATGCAAGTACAAACATCTGAAATATGATGACATTTTACGTGTTTATAAGCCCGTGCTCACCTCAAACTACTAACATACTAATTATTTGCATTCACAATGTATATTTTGCCAAGGATCTGACAAAAAGTGCTGATGATACGTTGACAAGTGGTGCAGGAGTTCAGCCTTCCCCTTCAGTTTCCTCCAGTTATGACCAGCTTTGACAGGTTATGACAGTTGAACGGCTCATTTGACTTCAGGCTTAACCTCTATCCGGCCTCTTGGGGCTCCGCTGGATACAGTATAATCTCTAAGTATGATATGGGCTTAGTGAGAAGGGGATCATCACTTCAGAAAAATGCCCACAGTGAGTATCATCAAGTTTGCTTCTCTCAGAGTACCTTCATTATATTTTCAGATGACAAGTTCAGCAATTTGATCCAGCTCCCTTTAATTATTTAAACTATTAAAGGTGCAGCTCTGCAAAAAAAAAAAAAAGTCGATCTCTAAAGGGATGACCGCAGAGAATAATAATTATCTGAAATCACTATTTCGTAAGTGTTCAAATAAGTGCTCCAACTTTTGGGAAAGGAAAGCCAGAGAGCATTTGAGGAGCAATTACGCATGATAATGAGGTAAACCACCATGCTGGATAAGTGACAGGAAAAGAAAATATTCCTCCCTGACAAAACAAACTTGTCTCTGCGGTGAGAGGTTGTTCAAATTCTGCAAGAAAATTATAATAATAATTTATTGTTCTTGTTGCTCGTCCAACATAGTGGCATGCCCCTTGTAATCAAATGGTAACCGCTCTGCAAACATTTCGTGACAGGCCGCTTTGCGCTATTGACATGCGGTTCCAGCAAGGGCCGCTTGTTGATACAGATAATCCAACGTGTGTTTTCTGCCACTCAAGCACTTGCTGAGGCTTCCCTGTCAGTGGCACCTAACACCTTCCACATAAGCTGCTGGCTTAAACTAACAAAAGAAGATGTGGTGTCCTTACCGTTCGGCCGGCTAATCCAGACTTAGCTGCGTGGCGTCGTCTTCAGCTGACCTCCACAGGCAAGTGCTAGCTGGGTAAGTCCATCATCATCACAGGCGAGGAGCAAAGGCAGGACTCCTGCTTATTCCTCAGAAAATCATCACAACTCCCTGTGCCTACAAGTAGGGGGGGTGTCCTGACTTGATTCTGGTCCAGACTGTTATTATTGTTTTATCATATTTGCATTTCCATTGAAAGATTTTAGGTTGCAAAGATCAAGATCAGCATTCCTCTGAATGTAAACGTGCGCTTCATGGCACTCAGGTTGATCCATTCAAAAAGAGGAGAGCTGGGTGTTTAGAGAAGCCACTGAGTTGGCATCTGGTTCACTTCAGAAAACTTCTGTCATCACGTATCTCCATGCAAAACTTCTGGTCCTCCTTTTTGCACAAATCCAAACCTGAAACAGAGGAACAGAGCAAAACATCGCCATGTAGCAAACAGATCTTACAGATGCCTCAACTTTTATTCCATCTGTTGTCAAACTCCACTTTGGATCATTCTGTCTGCACACAGCAGCACAGTTGGAAAGATAATGCACATCTCCTTACCTCCTTTCCAGCAGCAGGTCTTCTCTTCAGCTCCAGGGAGGGGAACTCTGCGGGTTGAGAAGATGGGTTAGGGTGAGGAGGGAGAGCGTGGTTACCGTAAGTGGAGCAGAAAGCTTCTCTGATGCCTCTGCCTCCTGCCTCCCCCCCTCAACTGTTGCTCCTCCTCCTCCATAGTTGTGCTTGTGGGCCGAGTCGGATTACTCCTGACATGATAATCTCCCTGGCTCTAGCTCCAGGAGCACTAAAGGATGCTTTGGCCTGAGCAAGGGCTTACATTTACCTTCTGCCGCTAGAGAGTCTGCCATCTTAAGTGGGTGATTGGTAATAGCCTCAATTGGGCAGATCAGAAGGGGTCTGCTGAAGCAAGTGTTTTCCAATCTTTTAGGGAGAATTAGGAAAGTTCACAATTGGTTTAAATGGTGCTAAGACAACACTAACCCCAGTTAAATGGAATTATCACAGCGGAGGTATTTCATGATGATTCAATCTACAGTTGGCTTGAGATAAAACCAGGGATGTTGTTGTTGAGAATCTCACGTTCACGTCCCCTCCAATACAAACCAGTATTGTAGCCCTTGAGCCTCAAGCGGCAAATGAGGAGCAGATGGTTGTGCTTTTGGAAGGTATCAGGCACTCCAGACTGCAATCTAAATAAATACCCCATCCACGGGGGAAATGCGTCAGGTGTGCGGGGTCAGTCATGTATAAACAAAGGCCAACCAGTTTGGAGACAAGTGAAGCGGTGTGTGAGGGAGGGAGAAACGAGGGAGATACACAAAGTCTTGCATGTGCTGTTTGGGGAGTGTAAACCAGTCAAATAAATCTACAGGTACAATGTTGATCTAAGCAGAAACGATGGTTTTAGAAATGTGTCCACAGCCAACGATGTTGAAATAAAGCAGCGATCTCTGCTATGAAGTCAGCGCCACAACAGGAAACAAATTATTTGCGAACAAACATCTCATTCTATCGCCATGAGTCATTCTGATATCCTCGGGCCAAATTATACACAAATCACGCTTTGCAAAGTTCCACTAGTGAGGCGGAGATGTGGCCTTGCGTTAACTTTCTAGGACTTAAAATTCCTTCAGTGTTGACTGTGAGAAAGGGGGGAAAACCAAAGGAATCTTTACCTAAGCTTTGTCTCACACCAGAAATGTGTATTGATGGATATTCTAAGGGTGTTATCTCAGTGACCCAGAGTGTAGATTTCATGTTAAGTTTGAAGCACAGCCAACACAAACTCTCCTTTTCACTGATGGAACACTTCAGCGCTGACCTGAAATGTAACTCTTTGCCACAAATCAGGACATTTGTGCTCAATTTTCACGCTGCAAATACTTCGGTCAGCAGGTGCAAAATTATCCAGATCCCTTCCCCAAAAAACTGGGAAAACATGAGAATTATTACAACTAACTTGTTTGACATACCCCTCAATTATGCCTATGTAAAAGCATAATGACTTCCAGTTAGCAGGGTATATCGTGCTTTTCTAGCCTTGAAAAGGAACTATCAGCACAGAAACATTTCCTGACATCAGGGAGGAACGATTTCTACTCTATACATATTGTCCGCAGATGTGTAAAGTTTTTGCAGACCAGCCTCTGCTGCAATAAAACTCCAACAGCTGTTAATTGCTACAGCAAGTCAGAGACAATAAGAGTGACACACTTGATCCGTATACAATGTAAAGTCTCACTCAACAGCTAAGATTACATTAGCCATAAAGACAGTCTGACGTTCGGCATATACAAGAGACAAAAAAAACAAAACAGCAGGGTATGTTTCCAATTTGAATATGATAGAATCCCATACACATCGGATTGAATCTTTTCCACTGGGCGTGGATGAGTGAAGAAACACATTTTGTTTAGGTTTGGGCAAGATTTTAAGGAAGCCCTCAATCAGTAACACTATAAACACACCATTCCAGTCGAGGTGTCATTAGAAAGGCTGGAAATAAGGCACAAACCTTACTACTACGCTTGTCTTGCACAAGATGTGGTTTGATGATTGGACAAGTAACCTTCAGCCAAATGTCATCTCGGAGAATGGAAAACTACTTTTTAGAGAACCAAAATCTAAACAGGCATTCGTGAAAAGATGCAGCGGGACAATGAGGGCTCTTTTTCTGAGCGTTTCATGTTGAAAGACGACACCTCTTTCATGGAGAACGTGGTAACAAGGTAAATCAATCCTGGCCCAAGAACAAATATACATTGCAATTTGCAGCTGTGACCAAATGAGCTGAGGTGGGGCGCAGAGGCCAGTGGTGTTTCATAACAGGGCCTGTGTGGATTCAGAGACACTTTTACTTTAGTACTCTAACACCTCAGTTTGTGTAACAATTTGTACCTCTGGCTAATATGTATTGTAGTCTATTTACATGCTTTGCAGAGTATTTACCTCCTACACAATTACAGCTTGACAAGGACAAAGTGAGTGTTTAAAATCACACAGTAATGAACACAGCTAAACGCTGCCCCCATCTGTCAGTGATTTATAATTACATGTACCCCAGAATAAACACATCTCCCACCAACAGAGATACCAAGACCTGGATAGCTTTTTTTTGTTTAATGCAAAAAATATTTTATTTCCTAAACAGCCTTTTAATTTGTGTAGTTGCTCCATAAATCTGCCTGAGTTATTCAGCGCAGGTGGTGTTACTACTTCCAAGAGAGAGTTTGAGCTCTTCCTGCTACAGCAGCTTCAGTCTGGCCCGAAAGCCCCTGGTGCCATCAGGGCCGAAGGGCTGACGCAGCACTCTCTGCATCAAGACAGGCGCGTGCATGTGCCCAGCACCGGCTGCATTTCTGCGCCTCAGCACCCATGGGCTCTGAGAATTCTCTATATCACAGTCTCCAGAGCACCAGCTCTTCTTACTGTACCTCTGATTCAAACAGGAGAAGGGCTGGTTATTACAGCTGGTGGAGATCTGCTCAGAGGTTCTTCGCATGGAATTATCGGAGGGCTTTTGGGGCTGAGATGTGTCTGGAGTCTCGTCAGAAAGTTTAACTGGCGAAGAGGGTTCCTCCTGGAATGAATCCTCTGAGGTTTCCAGTGGATTTTCCTGGGAAGGTGTGTCCCCAGATTGGTCCTCATTGTTTTCCTCTGCTGGTTCATCTTTGGTGACATGGTGCATTGACTGGAATCCCAAACATACCACACGCATGCCCTCACTGTTAGACTCCTCCTCTTCTGCTTTCAGGGCATTGTAGGCTTTACGAACTTCCTCCAAATGATCAAACTTCACCACTGCACACAAGTGTTGGCTGAGCTCTTTGTGACGCTTGGTGTAGCACTGCAGCTCCATGGGGAGCTCTTTGCCAGGACGCAGGATCCAGAGTGAAGTAACGCTGCCATGAGCACTGAACTTTTGGAGAGCCCTCTCTGCGAGAGAAGGGTGCTCCAGGCCTCGGGCAGCTGCGTCTTCTCCAGCTTCCTCCACAGTAAAGTTCCAGGCGAGGAGAAGCTTGCTGGTGGGGGAACACAGCAGCCACTTGGGAAGCGGCTCTCTCCGCCTCACTTTGGTGCATTCATCATTCACCTCCAGAGTTTCTGAGCACAATGCTGCTGCTAGAGTTATGTGCCAGTCTGTGGTCAGGACCTTTATCTGCAACAAACAAAGGCAACCTCAGCTTTATTTGCATTTTATTGTATTCATTTTATTCAAACTGGTGGAATGTAAACACCACAGAAAGTACATCAAATCTTGCTATTGTTAGAGAGTGATATTTCCTTACCTTTCTCAAGCAAGTGAGGAGCTTGAGACTGACGTAGCCCTGCTTGTTCTTCAGCACATGCTTCAGCAGGAAGCCGTCCTCTGCCAGGTGGCTGTCGGAGAGCAAATCCTCCAACTGGGCTTTAATCTTCAAGCAGAGCAACTCACCTTCATGGTCCTTTTCATCTTGAGCAGATTGTGCATTATCTCTACAAGGACACACAATTCAGCATCATGATATACTGCAATGTAGATTAGTCAACCATATGTTTTCTAATTTCCTTACCCAATCGGATTACTCATGGTATCTCCAAACGGTAGTGATAACAGGTCACTGAGCTGTTTCTTAGAAAAGTAAAGATGGGTATTAAGGAAAAGTAGCAGGCTAGATACAGTTAATACTCCTGAATGAGGAAAAATGCACCTGGACACAGTTCATACAACCACAATGTCAGCTGATTCAGTGGGATACAAAACAAAAATTTGGAAAATGCTACAAGCAAAATTCCAAACTAAATTATAACACCAACAGAAATAGAATTTGTGTGTCATTCTGTTTCTAAGATACCATCTAATCACATAGGTGATTATGCTAATCATGCTAATTATGCTAATTATGTATATTTCTTGACATATGCTTATTTCTTAGTATCCACCAGTTTCTAAATGCTGGGGACCCATTCTGTACATTTCTTACATAAAACTTTGGGGAACTCAACACTTGCAGGTTCACATTGCTGGCAAGTAGATTCCCTGAATGCTTAATGACTGAAAATTCCATTTTCTCTGATTTTATAGTGACAAATTTAGGCCAAAACAAGTGTAATTTTCAAGATAGAAATCGACTTGGGCGAGTGAAGCAGTGATTTTAAACACGTGACTCAAGTGATGAAAGAAAAAAACATTTTCAGTGAGTCATTTTTTTGTTTATTAGGGATATTGTGTGTGATATTTTGAAATAGAATGGCAGCAAGCCCACAAATCTTATTTTGCTACTTTCCAATTTGAATCAGGATACTCCTTGCCAAATTTCATACTTGTATGACTATTTATGCTATCGTAGTGCCCTAATAATTGCATTTACATAATTTCACCATAGCATGTCCCCAAAAAGGGGTCTGGTGCCCCCTGAGACCAAACTGCCCCAAGTTGGGGGTGCTAGTTATCAAGTTATGATGACCCAGGGTACATACAGGCTAACAGGAAATAATCATGAAAAAAAGGAAGCAGAAAACATCATGAGGGCTGGACCTGTCTCCTGGCCTAACCTCTACTGCTAATAATGACTCAGACTTATATGTGTGAGATAAAGTTAATGAATTATTTGATGAGTAGCAGAGAAGGGGTGGGAAATAATAAGTGTATACTTCCTCCTGCTCTTCTTCAAACATATGAGATGTAATTTGTGTTATGGGTAATAATTTTATATATATACGTGAGTAAATGTTTGATACATGTTAAAAAAAGGGAAACTGTCAACAAACTTTTAGCTGTCATACGCATAAGGATATTATAACTGCTAAAATTAAGGCACACTGCACAACAGAAACAACAGCAATGCATCAGTATTAATATTAAAACACAAAAGAGCAACATCATCAAAGGCATGGATTTCTGCAACGTGGCTCAGAGCTAAGTGCACAATCAAATCAAAAGACACTTATGAAATTGTGCATTTCTGAATTCCCAGATGCACAACACACAGCAGCACTTCAGTATAAACCAGCGACTGTATAGTATTTCTTAAATCCAGTTTTATATCCTGTTTGTGTGCTTTTGTCTTGAAATAATTCCTCTTCAGCATATTACTGACAACAAATCCATCTGCTGCCCATTTATTTCTGTGTTTTAATTAATATATCCTCCATATGTTATCAGACCTTTGCAGGTTTTCCCAGATACAGTAATCCAACCTTTCCTTTTGCGTGACTGTTACGTGACACGGCAGTGATTTCACTGGTTGTGTGGGCCGCTGTTGAGAAGCAGACTAAGCAAGTTACTGAGGGGACTGGAGATGATGAAGTCTTGCTATGCGCACACACGCATCCTCATAAATACACACAGATAGAAAGAGCACAGATGATGTTGCAGTTTAAAAGGCCCTCCAAAATAACAAGAAATAAAAAAATCAAATAAAGCACTAAAATCTAGCTAAAATCATCTTTAGATATTATGTGATAAAAGCTTAAAGGGACAGTTCATCTCAATTAAAATACAGATTTTTCCTCTTACCTGTAGTGCTATTTAAAGGGATAGTGCACCCAAAAATGAAAATTCAGCCATTATCTACTCACCCATATGCCGATGGAGGCTCAGGTGAAGTTTTAGAGTCCTCACAACACTTGCTTGCTTGCTACCCCCTCTCCCCTGGGATCTCCGCACGTGATGTGAGGACTCTAAAACTTCACCTGAACCTCCATTGGCATATGGGTGAGTAGATAATGACTGAATTTTCATTTTTGGGTGCACTATCCCTTTAAGTTCATGACAGCGTGAGATGTAAACATTAAAGGCGTCTTCCTTGGCTGACCTGAAACATTAGCTAGCTCAGAGGTGCTAGGTAACCTAACAGTAGAAGCACACAGTGATACGGTTAGGCATAGTTCATTAGAAAGAAAATAGTTCCTACATGAAACTGCTCACAACAAGGTCTGTGGATTATCTTGCGTAACCAGGTCGTGGTATCTGGAAAGACACATTGCTGTCAAGTTTTTTCAGATGTATTTTTTGGCGCTTTGAGCACCACAAGCCGAGTACCATCTAGTTTCATTATATTGAAGAGAAGGCAGACATCTCTTTGGCTGATATCTCCAACACATGGCAACTCGCACCAAAAAAACCCAGACTGATAAATAGCACTACAGTTAAGAGGTGAAATTTGTATTTTTGATTTGGGGGGTGAACTGTCCCTTTAAGACTCAAAAACCAGACATATCTGCTTCATCAGGTTTGTGTGGGTGTGGTTTGACCTGATGTGATTGACAATGGCATCTCTATGGAAACATAAGTAAACAACCCAACAACTGTCTCTGCGCTGTGGGATTGTTAGTAGAACATAATGTACATGCGATAGATGATACTGGTTTTGATGGCACTGTATAGCAGATACATTTTACACCAAGAATTGGGACAATAAAATGGCGTCCATTAAATACAGTGCTCTACATAGTAAATAAGAACAGTTTTTGACATAGGCTGAGCTAATCTGCTACATCAGGACTGTATATGCGTCTCCATGGTAACATTAGCAACATAAGACTGATTATTTTACTGTTAGATTATGATTGGTCCAAGGAAATAAGTGACATCATCTTTCTCCTACAGGGCCTCACCCACATTAAACCAGTCAGAAGCGCACAAACACAAAACAAAATCCTAGCTGAAATTACCTTGATAATTAATGATGACAACTAAGCCATCTCCATGACAACCAGGCCAACTCCTTTCGTCTTTGAAGTGTGTGAGATGTGGAAGAAAGCCTTCAGAATTCCTAACTACACCCCTGCAAACACACACAAGCACACACACATACACACGTTAAACTATGTGAACATTAAGTTGCATCGTTGGAACAAGAAAGCTTGTAACAAAGGACATGGTGGTCATACATCAGGAAATATTTTTTAGGCAGTTCAACAGGCAATATTCCTGGAAACAGGAGATAAACTCTTGGCCCTTGGGGACGCCGAGGGGTGAAGGATAGAAGCAAAAGCGTACACTATGAAGGATTTATCGGTTAAGAATTTGACCATTCACATTTTCCAAACAACAGGATAAAGGAACAAAGTGTCACAAGCCAAGATTTGTACAAAAACCCAATTATTTAACTTTATTAACATCAATGTTTTTTTCATCAACAGTTTCTTTTTAAATTCCAGTTCTTTATCAACAAATAGAAAACAGACTGTGTGTACAACAGATCGAACCCCTACAGCACTAAGCATTCACAAGGTAAAAATGAACATTTTTAGTTTTTCGCCAGCGTATTCAAGTCCCCCCTCCCTCCCACGGCCGCCTCCACCACCACCGCCACCACAACGTGTCGCCATCAGACGCTCCCCTCCTGCGGCTCGTGTGGGAGAAGATGTGTGCTTGAGTGGTGCGATTGAGTGAGGAGTCGTCCATTGTTGATGGGTGGGGTGGGGGGGGTTGTGCTGTTTTTCCTCATTCAGACGGACAACCAGCTGTCGAAGTTACTATGGTAGTACAGTAGATACAACGGTGTTTCCATTAATACACACTCTAGGACAGCAGGCTCTCTGCAGTGTCTCTAGGGTTGGTAGATCAGCAGAATTAATCCTTTTTAACAATATACCTTTGAAGCTGTGTATATATCTATGTGTAATTGTACATATATATAATCAATCATAATTATATATATATTTATAGTTCTATTTCTGTATAAAATAATATCAGGTTTCAGTCCAAAGGGCCGAGTCTCTTTCCCTCTGGTAGGAATGGTTGATTCTGTACAGGTGCCAGCGTTGATGGCTCTACTCCTCAGCCCATGTGAACCACTTCTGCTCCTTTCGGTCTGTGTGGCTCAGCTCCAGCAAACTGACCAGGCTAATGGGCAGCAAGGAGATGGGAGGGACTTGAAGAACAACTTTATTCAGAGATCAGGGAGTTTATTTTCTGTCAACTACCCTTTGGGTACAAAAGTCTGTTTTCCTCAGGTAACTTCTCCGCTGTGGAGTATGAAGGCCTCAATGCCATAGGCTTCTGATGAAAAACAAAACAAACAAAATAACATGTAGAAATCATGTGCTTTCCATTTCTGTACACCTCTGATTTAGTCTCTTGTAAGCTAATTCACTTCTTGTTTTATAAGTAGCTACCACTTTCACAGGTCAGACTTTAGCAAGTGTGTGCTCTGAAAACAATTTCCTCAAAGTAGTTTTTTTTTCTTTAACCAAAACAGCGAGTCGAAAGGCAATTTTTTGAGCTATTGAACTGAATAAGACCAAACAAAATGTTTATGACACATATAATGAATAAAACAATTATATCATGTGATGAAAAGAAATCTGACAGCAGCTCAGAGAACAGTGGTCCTCCTGTATTAGTATCTAGGAACGTGTTAAAAATACATGTCCCTTGTGCTAAAGTACCCTAAAATAAAAAGTAAAAATTAAAAAAAAGTACCGATTATGACAATAATGCACGCCCCCAGGCTGGGCAGTTTAAGACAGAAGAAATGTCTGATGTTAAAATGATTATTAAAAACATATAACATAACATATATACTAAACAATAACATTTGACATAATGAATCATAATATTGACAATATAATTAAAAAAAA